GTACTTTAAAGTTTTTAAATTTCTCTTTAGACTAAATATGCATAATTAGTAATAGCCTTAATTATTTTCAGTACATTAAACTATATTTTTTAAATAACTTAAATTCTAAGTTACGATTATTTAAGATTTCATCATATTTTTCCCTTAAGTGAGAATAATTATGAAAGTGGTTATTATAAATTTATAAAATTAATAGTAGGTTTTAAGTAAATAAAACTCAATTAGACATAAATAAAAGTAAAGATATATATGTGGGTAAAGAAAAGAGTGTTTCTGATAACAGCATTATCACATTTATTCCTGTTAAATCTCAGAGACATTGAAAATTGCCCCTTTCATGATAAATTAGGAAGCGATTCTTAAGGTAACATAATTAGTATTTTACCTGAACTCAAGTATAAATGAATTTATTCGCGTTTCACAGTAAAAAATATAACCATTAACTTCTATATTTCCAAGATATGCAAATGAAAGACAGTATAAAGTAGTGAATCAATGTGATCAAAAATATACCTAAATCTAATAACTTTCCATATTCATATCTAAAATGAAATAATAACCTAGCAAACTACATGACAGCACTATTTAAGAAAACACATGAACTAGTAGTGTTTGAAAGTATAAATAGCAGAAGGAAGGTAACAGAACTAAAATTTCCAATTAATAAAAAAAAATATTTGTGATTTTTAAATAGTATGCAATTAAAAGTGCAATAATTATGGATTGCTGTATTTGCGTTAGTAAAGCTGAATGATTCTTAACACCATTTCTTTCGATCATATGTTAATGTATTTACTTATTTTTAGTTTCTACATTTTATAATAGTGGTAGATTACAATGATTATTTCATGCACTTTTTACAATCAATAACGTTCCTTTTTGTTACTGTACAGAAATAATTGAAATAATATAGTATACGATAGTAAGCTAAGTAAAGTAAGCTCTTCGTTAAATAGCACACGATGAAACTTTTTGTTTCTATTTATTATGAATTTCTTTGTTATCACAAGCACATAAAAAGTAAGCGAAGAAAATAGAATATACTTTTAATAAAACTTAAAACCTAATTTCCAACATTCATTTATTGAGATAATCTAATAAGCATACAAAACGGCAATATTAAAAAAAAAAAAAAAAAAAAAAAAACGCGAATTGCACAGTGTTTGGAAGAATAGATACCAAACAAAAAGTAATAAAACTGCAATTTGCAATCAATAAAAAATATTTAGTATTTTTTAATATCACACAATTAAATATCACATAATTATAGATTACAATATTTCATAGAAATGCTAATGTTTCCTTAACACTAGTTTTTCGATCATACATTTCATACACTGTTTAAAATGATTCACCTTTTCTGCATACTGCACAAAAGACAATATACTATAGAATGTGCATTATTATTAATTTTAATAATTAACTAATTGATTATATATATCTAATTCATCTTCAGCAGTCATATTAAGTACTGGTACCAGTACAATAACATCTTTGTATTTTGAAAATAGTGGACATACCACAACAGCTTGAATTGTTGTTGCTTCTGTATTGATTGCATTTTAAGCATACCAGAAAGTGGCTTACCGTTGTATGTTATTTTTTGTTTTATATGAATTAATTTTGAAAGCCAACTTTTTAATATGAACACAATAATCGATTAATACGAATGATATGCGTAATAGCACTTATAACGTTGTAACCGAAGCACAAAGCTAGTAAGTTTATCGAAATATTACACTGCTGGAACCACAGCGATTGGAGACAGACACTGTTTTCACAGAGACACTATTCCACGAACACTATATTCACACACAAAATAAGCACAAATTCAGCATTCTGACTAGAATTTCACTCGCTGAAGGCAGTTGAAGTAAACAGATACACAGACCAATGACAAGATTCACAATGCGTTCTTTGATAGTGCATTACATTTACTTTTAATATAAGCAATATTATTTATATCAGCTATTGCTTGATTCAATTTCAAACATGAAGTAAGTCTTTTTAAACGCCTTACAGATGGTATCTTTACCCAATGACTTGAAAGAACTGCTAGAATCTGAATTAATTGTTGTTCGAATTTGGCAGCTAGCGCAAATCTCGAGATGTTCGTTATATAAGGGCATCCAGTAAATGACGTACAGGTCTGCTCCTCCTTCCGCCATATATATTGGACAACCGAGAATTCGTCCTTACTTTAAAAATAAGAATTAAAGTCATATTTCAGTAGTGAAATAGTTGCTAACACGTGATTTGCATTGATTTCGGAAATATGTTTTTTAAGTTTATAAAATGCATAACTAAACAACTTACTTTATAGATTAGTTTCATTTTTAAATATTTTGCTATAATATTTATAAACATATTTTAAGCATGAATTATTTTAACAAAATTTTAAATAATTATTTAGCACGTATTTTTAGTACTAATTAAATTTAATAAATCAAAAGTATTTATATTAAATTTACGTTTCATTAGATGAATCTACCTTAGATTAATATATTTAGATGAAATAAAGTAATGAAACATTGCAAAGTAAATCTTATACGGACTTCAGATTCTTGAAAGGACAGATTTAGTCTCTTTTCATTCTAAAAATAATGTTGATGAACTAAAAAAGAATGCTAAAACGACCACGTCTAAAAGCGGTCATATCATGATGTTTCAGCGACGTCTACAAATTGCCAAGATGCAAATATTTTGCGTCTTCGCAACGTTGTAAAGACGTCGTAAAAATATTTTGAGTCTTCGCAACGTTGTAAAGACGTCGTAAAAGCTACCACAACCACTTTGCAATCTCTCGGACCAGTTTGCAACGTCGTGTGATACTTGGGAGTAAACTGCGCAAAAGTATTTTCCTGAAGTATTCTAAATTTCTCTGATCTTCAAGAGCAAAAGCTTTTTAGTACTGAAGAAAAAGGACCTATGTTTGATAACCCTCAATCTATAGATTTTTATTAAAAACCTACTTTAATCTAAAGTTATTTAATATTCATTAATTTGATATTTTAAATGTCTTAAGCTCTTTACCGAAAGCTAAAGAATCAGTTGGTCTTACACAATGTGCGGTGGAAAGTATTCCTTGGTCTTCTGCACGTGATTATGATCAAGCATTCGTAAGCCGAAACTTCATACGATTTCAGAATCATGACTCTCAGAGTTTAAATAAAAGTTTGAAACATAGTTCATTGCGACGAATGACATTTTAAGCTTTTTTCGGAAGGTTATGTTTTTGATAAAACACAGTTGTGTAATTCTTGCTTATTTTGAACGACCTGAAACGCTTTTTTTTTTTTTGTGAATCTGAAGGTACATGGTTCTGAAAAAGGATGGAACTGACCCACGTCTTCTGAGAGAATGACAGGATTTGGACTGTCAGAGACACACGCTTAAATGATTTCTTATAGCGTTTGTTTGGTTTTTTTTATTTAATTATGCATGTTACTCGATCGTATAGAGTTGAGCTTAAAAATAGCGCTTGAGATTTCTGAAGTACACTCTGATTTTGATGACCATGTTTAGATCTCGAGTTTTGTGTTATCGGAAAATGATTTGTGAAGCTCTTTAGAAAATATTGATTTCTATTTTATATTTTTTGTTTTTCCTTTATGAAATAAGATAAATTGCATTTTCCATCTATCAATAGATCTACAGGAAATCGGGTAAATTCAAGAGTGTATCAAAAAGTTTCCGGATTAGCTCTGTTGATAAAAATGTACATCATTTGCCTAATTTTGAACACCATCTCTTTCGAGATAGTCGCAAAATGCACAGTCCCCAGTGGTCTGCACCGCTAGAAGGTGGCCTCAAAATAATTTTGCGTAAGCAAGTTCATACACTTTTGTGCTTGTATCTAGATCTTATCACCATCCATGATCCTGGATGTGAAAGATGGATAATTCAAGGCACGGAGACCTTAGTGCTTTCCACGCGATAATCTTTCTGCTTATCTCGGAAGACAAATCTGGCAGCAACACACTGTATGCTCATTTCCGATTATTGGATTATCTGCGCTGGTCCGCACGACCTAGCAACAATACCTTCCTTTTTGCTGATTGTTCTCCGATGATTCACAACGCACAAGTTTTTGAATTACTTTCATATTTTCAGGCGCGACACTCACGAAAGATCTCCCAAATTTCTTGCTTTTTTATTAAGGAACGTTCTTCTACCTTTGAAGCTGATACTGGAAATATTGCATACGATTTATTGCCTTATCTCTGTAAGCTTGAAGATGCTTTTTCAGTGTTTCTGTGGCTAGTTTACTGCAAATTTTAAGTTCACGTGTTGTTCATTTTTATATTTGGGATGTAATTCAAGATTAATGTATACGCATGATTACAAAAACACCATTATAGTAACAACTGTGGATATTAACCACAGCGATGTCTCTTGACAATTTACGTAGGTAAAATTATAGATTACTCTAATTACGAGAGCAACACTGCGTTTCCAGTTATTAGCACACTGCAAAGCTAGTCGACGAGCTTTTTGTTTCACCCTTAGGTAAATTAAAAAGTAAAGATATCAAGAAATGATCAATGAGGAATTCAGATCTTCATATTCTTAATGCTGGGAAATCAAAACTAACTTTTAATTAGTAAAATAGTTTCTCAAATTAGCGCTTTAGTTCTTGTGCATTTTTATGATGGAAACTGGTATAAAAAGATATTGCAACTTAACGTGGCAATCATCAACACTCACGTTATAAGTTTTCACTGGCTTTGGAATTAAATTTTTCGTGAAGCAGTAAACGATGCTTGCTCAGAATACGGTATCTGGAATATGCACTTAAGAAAGCTGTGATTTTAAGTATACTGTAAAAATACCGTCATGAATAAGTTTCCAATTTGAATCTGTCTAGTTTTCATTGCTCGGCTTCAATGCTCTAAAACTGAATTTATAATACACAGATTTCAAGCAGCTTATGTGCACCTAAATACAGAGAAATTTTGCAATCGTTCATTATTCTAATTTATATATTATTTCTTTTTCAGAATGGATCGCTTACTATTGCTCCCAGTATACTTCATTTTAGCCATGGATTGTTTCTTTGCAGTAAGTTATGCTCTTCTTAATCGCCCAGACACAGATCCAGAATTGGACTTAGAACCCATTACAAGGTATCGAAGGCCAGAAACTACTACACAAAGGATTTCATCTGGACACGTACATGATTTCACATTACCCTTACCGAAACATCTCAACACTGATTCGCTTTTTGATGAAGAGTTTGACTACTATGATGAACATGAAGGCATGAATCACATAGAGCATGAAATGACTACCATTTTACTTAGGGCAGGTAAAATGATTTTGTAAAATTTTATAGGAAACTTGAAACTTTTGTTATGAGCTCGCAAATAACTATTTAAAATCTTTTACTCTGTTCTGTCCATTTCAAGATTCTGTCCATTTCAAGATTCTGTCCATTACAATATTCTGTCCATTACATGTTCTGTCCATTACATATGATTTTGCAAGCTCAAAATCTTACTCCAGAAGAGTAAATCAGCCTAACCAGAGAAAGAGGATCAATATTGACTACACTTAACTGATTAAACGATTTCATTTACACATAAGTGAACCTTTGCTGTGTTTCCTCCATTCCGTTTCCTGGTTGTTAGTTAAGCAACGTTTAACTCAAAAACTTTCTAATGACAGGGAATTCCCTTCCAAAGGCGCGATTTCATGGTTCCCGATGGTATTATGCAACCTCCGCCTGATAAATTATCAGAATCGTAACAAGTACCTCCCGTAAAATTTTAACGTAAGCATGGAATAAGAGCAGCGAAAATACAGAATATGTTACTGTTCTGAAATTTGAGTCATGTATTATAATGGATTCTCATTTGTTGTTATTGCTGATGAAGAAAGACAATAGTCCTTATGTGCAACATAATCTGACGAATGATTCCATGGAACCAGAAAGTTTCAAGCAACATTCACAAAATAATCACCCTCATCAACACAAGAAGAATAACGAAATTTGGTCTATGAGTGTTATGGATAATTTCTTATAAAGATGAAGTTGGATTTAACAAAGGAATTCCGAAGTATAATGTAACAAAAGCTTTTTGAGTCTAGCATCTGAGAGAGCAAAGCAGAAATAACCAGACACGGTTTGGAAAACTTCGATTCAACCGAGCGCTTTCAAAACGATTACACAGATATGGCTAATGGGGAGAAAATCGCAATGGCTCACTTTCAGACAGAATTTTCCAAAGAGGAAGCAGCAAGGATGCAGTGTTGCTATCATTGTTGTTGTGGCTAATGAAGCAACAACATACAGCAACAGTCATCCACGCAGCTGTTGTGACTAAAGAAGTAAGAACAGTTATTGTGGCTATTGATTCAAGGATCCCGAGTTGTTCCAAAGATGGAGTTTGCCGGATTTCACATATTTTTAATTCAGCCTTAACAATCGACTTATGTAGCATCATTGCGTTCATACGGTCATTAAACCACTAACTATGTCTTGGATAATTTAAATACGTCCAAGTTTATTTAAACTGGAAAAAGACTTTCTAATGAGTACTAATGTACTAATGAGGGAGCGGCTATGCCTAGAGTTCATACTCGCGTAAAATGAAGTTTATTATTTATTACTCCACAGGTCAAAGAAGCTAGTTCACTGTATTGTTTTAGAATAAAACGTTATGCACTACGTCGTTCCTAAATGGCCTTATCAGATTTGAGGATTCGAAAAGCAACGTGAAACTTTTCCGAGAAATGTTTCCGCCCAAAACTAGTTTGAGCAACAAGTAGCTAGCCAAATTTTTATACTGAATTAGTGTGCATGTACAATGCAAATCAATATTCGATTGTCTGTAAAGTAATCCTAGAAGCAAAAAATGCATCATTTTTCAATTTTATATAAGCACGTCTTAGTATTTACTAGAAATAAACAGACTTAGATTACATGATTAGAATTATTACTAAAAATCGAATTATCTCTTTAATAATCTCATTTAAGCTTCATTTTATTCTTAACGTAGCATTTTTTAGGAAGTAAGACTTTAAAAATTCTCAGCAGTTTGTTAGAATCCTGGATTTAGTTCTTGCTTTACAAATTGAAAGTATCTAAAATGCCAAATACAGTAAACGCGGATCTATTTCAATGCTTGAATATTTCTTAAATAGCTGACAAACCCATAAATAATTCGAATTTACGAATGTCAGAAATGAACTATCCTCAAATATCACGTTTTAAATTTTATACTGAAGACACCTTAAAACAAAAACGAAAAAAAAAAAAAAAAAAAAAAAAAAAAAAAAAAAAAAAAAAAAAAAAACCTTACCCCTCCCCCCAAAAAAACTGTTACTATTCAATTTGTCATCATAAATCTGCTGTGATAATCGTAAATTAATGCCATACTGGGTCTTTCTCACAGATTAATAAAAAAATTCATTATTCAAGACATAACTGTTCATTTCTTTCACTCAATTACTTACATGAAAGCTTGCCTTCTCTTAAGTGGCAATACATTCAATAACGGGGAATAATGTTTTGCCAAGGGATGGCAAAACTACAGAACTTAAGGGAATTCTGTTTTGCCAAGGCATGAAATACGTAAACTGAAAGAAAATACTTTCGTAGATGACTACCATTAATTATGAAAGTTGGAGAAGATCCCGCGAAACTTGAGCTAGTCGTATTTCTGAATTCAGGAAACAGTCATTATTTTGGACCACTTCGTTTACGCGCTTCTTAAATAAGCTTTCGTAGATTTCGACTATTTTGTCAAGTCTCCTATTTTACAGGAAGTTACATCTAGAACGCTATGAGCACAAAGTTCTCATAGGTCATTGTTTTGATCTATTACATTTTGTCTGCAGTATCCAGCTAACCATATCGTGTCTATTAATACACCCCCTTTTTTAATTGTAGGCTTCCATCGCTTTGAAAATGATACCGATTGCGTTTACACAATTTTATAGCAATTTGGAGGCCATTTAATTAATATTTATGATGTAAAGAGTATTTTTTTAAATATTCGATATGATAGCATTTTATTCAAGTCTGCATCATGATTTTCATGACAAAATTTCTAGGGTTACTGAATTCCATTCCTTTTTCACTACGTGGGTTTTCCCATCTGTAACGCGTATACAAGCCAATTTGCCTTAGAAATTAGGAGGAGGAATGCCTCCACGAAGGCATTCCTCCTCCTCCTAGGCTGATAGCCCTCGTGTGCTTTGCAATAACCTAATAAACCAAACCAATCCATAGGCAAAACATCAATTTCTGACTTTTTTTAAATTGTAAATATTGGCTTATTATTCTTTACATTGTCACCACAGATGTATTTAAAGAATTTGTGATTGATTTATGAGTCAACGGAGTCTTCTTTTCTATGTAAAAGTAATAACTGAGGATTTTTCTCTTTCCCATTGAGAATATTGTTTATTTTGCTCTTAGAAATTTTAATAACATGTATTTCACAACGTTTTTTATTTATGGAATGGTAATAAATATCTTCGGAAGCTGTAAAAACATATCCTTGTTTACATGCCACATTTTGAAAGAAGAAAAAGTTTAAAACAAGTAGACGATATTTCTCATTTCAAATAATAAGCCGTTGCGAGAAATTTTTATTCCAGAACATCTGCTCTTTTTAAAATTTCTTTATCGAAGTCATTCTAAAAATGTATAAACACCGTCTCTACGCTGCTTTTTGTTTTGTTGAAGGCAGGTACTAAATTTTAATCATTTTTTTTCAAAGAAAAAAATACAAAAGTATTAGTTACTTTATATCCTTGTTCATAAAAACAATAAGTGGCGGGTAATTGTTTCAATCTATTACTGTTTGATTGGCCCTGTATTATCCATTAATACACACATTTTTAAAATAGTGTGACCTAACTTTAAGTTTGAAGAGTTAAAATATCCAAACCTTGTATAGAAAAGGTTCTTCCAAGGGAACTATACACGGCGATGAATAAGAATTTTTCATTTGTGGCGCTGTAGGTTACTATTGCAGCGTTTTCGATAATGCGAAGTGCTTGGAAATAGATAGACTGCTTACTTAACATGATTTTTAATAATGTCCGCAATATCGCTACCTCTATTGTATTGTCGGTAATTTCTGATGATAGTGTAGCCTTGAATTTTAGTTCTGTCGCACTGACGAAGATGAGTCTCAATAATGTTAGATCAATATCAGAGGTTTAAAGAAAATCTGCGATTTCGTGCATCCGATAGCATTATAAATGTGAGATTGACATTATAATGTGAGTCTTGTAAGTAGCTATTGATAGCTCCGATTAAGTTAGTACATTGCAGTGATGTGTTAAAATTTGTAATTGAAGCTTGTAAAATAATCAAAATCTCCTATGCCTATTTCAGTCTTTTGCATAATTATATTTACAGATTTAAATTTTGTAAGGAATTTGGCTTTGGTTAGGTGTATTTGTCAGCCAAATAAGGTTCGTGTGGGCGAGGACCACTCTGCCAGACACTTGATGTCTTAGATAGGTGCTGCCGACAGCTCCACTTTAGTGTGATTGCTTTTTTTTTTTTGTCTTACTTCTCAGTGTAATTGTTTTAGGCGGCTGGCGGCGCAAACGACCTTTTGTTTTCATAAAAATTTTAAATGTTTTGTTAGTTTTCCTGTAAAGTCATACCACATGTATTGGCTCATTTTAGCATTTTTCTTTCCACACGTCTTTGCCTCAATATTAGGCGAAATGGAACGATCCGGCACACTAACAAGAAACTATTTTCGAAGTTTGAAAAAAAAAATATCCAAAACTCCACTTTGAGAGGGGGGAGAACACAGCTTACGGCTTAAAATGTCTTTTCAAAAAGCAATGCATAAAATTATTTTCAAAGTCTTTTAAGGACAATTAGTCTTGAGCAACTCCTCAGAAGCAACTGTCTTCTTTTCTTGACGAAATAAATTGAATATTTGTTAAACATGTTTTTTACCCTTCCAGATGTATCAACAGAATTACCTACAATGACAGAATCAACAGTACTAGCTTTCAAGGAGGAATATCCTGAAAAGAATCAAGTGGACAAAATTGTGAATTCTTCTTGCAGAATTTTCTTACCATGGTGGAAAGTTATATTAATTACTTTAACAAATACTCTGTTTGTGCTTTTTTAAGATTTCCTGCTCAGCACATCAATTATGAAAGGCAGCCCATGTTTAAGAACTACTTTTGTAAAGTAATTTTTTTGAACTGAATGGAATTTGTGTTGTTCGAAACTTATTTGTATACGGATTTAATTTTTGCAATTATGTATGTAATTTTTGTTCTGTAAGTTAAAAATCATTAATTGTATAGAACTGTATAGAATTAATTTACGTTAAGTCTTTTTCCTCATTTTTTACTTGTAGACTTGAATGAATTTTAACATATGATATTTATCATTAAAGATCAAAGACCATAGGATAAAGATCCTGCAATCTTTAAAAATGTCTTATCCTGTAGACCGGAAATGTAGCGCATTAAGTGAATTTGGAACAATGCACGCAGAAATTGTAGCACATTACTTGTAATTACAATTCTTATTAACTCATAATATGACTTCAGCTCAACTTCGAGACGCATTAACCGGATTCTATCTAAAAAAATAAGTATATTGCGGAACGATATAAAAATTACTGTCGTAAACCATCAGCATAAAACATAATTATCTACAGAAAATACAAAAGAAATGTCACGGGATAACAGTAAGAGCAAATGATATTAGGATTTGTTTAAGTATCCGCAGCAGTTATTAGTTTAGCTGTGCATAAAGTCAACTACATAAATATTGTTAAATTATCAATTAAAAATAAACTAATCAGTCGTAAAAATAAATTAAGTATGCAGCCATTAACTTCTTGTTTCGTGCTGAATCCTAAAGAAAAGATCTAAAGAATAACGCATTGACTAAAGCTCTCATCTTTTGGTTGAAGAACGTGCATTCTGTATTCAATCCCTGCTTAATTAACATATCCAATAAAATTAAAGTATTTGCATATGCAGGTAAATTGTTAATCATATTTTACTATTAATTATAATAAAAGTTCTTTCTTATACTTTTTTTATTAACTGCTGTCGGATTAACTGTGGTTGTGGGTTAACAGTAAGTAGTCTTTGTCTGCATTATTATTCTGGAGTTGGAAAACCTTTGCTGTAGAGTAGTTGGCTTTACAGCCAAGGTTTTTCTAACTTTACTCATTCAAGAAACTGTAAAACTCTAACGTTTAGAATTCCTAGAATTATAATTTTTAACATACCGCTAAAACGCTTAATTTTCTTTTTTTGAAATCCATAAACTGTAAGTTTTCTTTCGTGGAACCTTTCAAACAATAGTTTACTTCTTTTATCTATAAAACTGTAATCATCTTTATTTGGAATCACTAAAATTATAATTTTGGCAGAACATTTAAAATTATAATTTGTTTTGAACCCATAAATTACAATTTTCTATTGCAAACCATTAAAAGATTGATTTATAACTCTAATTTCTCTCTCTCTCTCTCTCTATATATATATAAGTTCTTCTTTCCACAAAGTTTATAGTTCCAAGAGAAATATATGCATGTTCCTTTCCCTCTCAGCGTTAAGGCCGGAAAATTCCGTACAGAAGGTTGCCTTCCACATTCATTATACATGAAAATTTCTGCTAGCTTTTAATGTATCTGATTTCAGTTTGGATGTATATTGGAAGAAAAGGAATCAAGGTACAAAATGAAAGAGTCATTTAAAATCAAGAAAATATCACTTATTCATGACATTTTGAGGAACTTAAAAATCTCAGGGCTAAACCCGTAACGCTCAGAGGGTTTTAAATAACGCAACAGAACGCACTGGTAAAATAAAGTATGCTATATGCTAATAATAATAGTCCACTTACAAGAATGTGTGCATCTGAACTATAAATGATATCAAGATAACTCAGATCTGCATTTCGGCTCCTTACCAATCTTCCAAGAAGGTTTTGTGTAAATGTTGGATCTAAAATCTATAAATAACTTAAGATTTGTAAACATCAACAGATATTTCGTGCCATCGTGAACAATTTCTGTATCGGCTTTTAGGGCATAACTTATGGCATAAAACAAAGTAGTAAATTCATTTAGTTGAATTCACCTATTGTAAAATCCTATACTTATTTATGTTAATTCACAATAAAAATATTTTGTTTACTAGTGTTATATTTTTTTCCCGTATAAATCCACCCATATTTAAAAGATAAGTACTATAACTATATTTCCAAATCCCAAACCACTAAATAAGAAATAATGTAGTAATTATTTCTTACCTAGAGATTTCGAGTCCGAAAAGTAAATTTTACCACTTACAAAAGCTTTACTGCTACTAAATTAATCTTATCACTTATAATAGGATGTCGCAATGATTAAACTTCATCAAAAGTTGCCATAGTAACGATTAGCTTAAAACAAAAAATTGTTTTATATTCGATTTTCGGGATTGCATCGCTATAATATGTTTCCTTACTGTGCATAGATATTTTCAACTTGTAAATAAATGAATATATTTCTAAATACTAATCGAGTCATTAATTGGAGAATTTATCTCACATTCTAAAGGCATGTCATGTCAGGTTTCATACTGAGTTCTGTTGACTAAGAAAAATTTATTTATTTATAACATTATTTGCTTCTTTTTCTGAATTTATACCACATACATTAAGACAGATATCGTCGAAATTTCTTGAATCTCAGAACTCCTAAACCATGTTTCTTTGCTCAAGAACTTTTTCTTTTGATTCGTCTCAGAACAACGGATGTTTTGATGTCTCAGAACAACGGAACAACCAGTCTCAGAAAAATAGATGCTTAGAAAATTTCTTAAATCATAGAACTCTTAAAAACATTTTTTTTAGCTTTAGAATTTTTTTATTTGTTTCAGAGTAACAAATGTTTTTACCAGTCTCAGAAAAATAAGTGCTTAAGAAACTTTGAAATTGTGTCAATGTTGCGTGCGCAGTAAGTATAAAGTAAAAAGGAAAATTAATTTATTAAATTTTACTCATTTAAATTATTTTAAATATTAAGATTATTTAATTACAATCCAGCTTTATAATAGAAGATTTACTTTATGTTGTTTTGTTTATTTTAACTATCCAATTTTGCTTTATGTTAAAATGTATCGCACACGCTTACTGTTTCGTCTGCTTCTACCAGAATATTAAATGAGAGGGTTTTAAATAGGGTAATAATTCAAGTTAAAAAAATGAGAATTAACATTGCCGGTGGACAAACTCTTCTGCGTTATTCCATGGCGTGAATGGTATTCTACGAGTCGAGGGTCTGTTACTACTATTGAATAGCAGATGAAATTTTAAATTTACCGATCCAGGCGCAGATAAAACTTGTGAATAGTACATAGTATGAATTTATGTATTGAGTTTCATTCCTGCGATAAGCGAAAGTAAACATGTGTTAAATTTGTTTCTTAAACTTTAGTTGCTTATATTCTTCTTTTGTGTTCATTCAGCATTCTGATATTTAGTAGAAGCCAAAATGAATATTAGTCTTTCGAGCTTGAAAGTTCAATTAGTGTGGATTAAGGCAATAAAAGCTTAATCTTATAATATTATTTCCGGGGAAAATTTCTTGAAATCCTTAAATCTATAAATTTTTATCGCGTGACTCCTAAATCTATAATTTTTTATGGGACCTTATAATTTTGGGACCTTCTAAAACTATAACTTTTGTAGAATCTTTAATAATACAATTTTTTTGGAACCCATAAGCTATAACCTTCGTTTCTGAAGAATTCATTTATAAGTGATATTTCATTTATAAGAAGAGTGGTCTTCAAACTTTGTCGACTTACGGAACCCTTAGAACTGTACAGTTTCTTCGGGGAACTCCACCCCACCCTTAGAGAGATGTATCTTAAACTAATATTTAAAGTAGATCAGTATGCCATAGATACTTTATGTAAATACAGTTAATGAAAGTTATTGCATTTTTATTAAAAGCTATTTAACATAAAATTAATGTGATTTGCTCATTAATAGTATTAATTCGTGCTCCCGATCTCACCTACCCTTGCCTTATATTTAATGACAAGACTGTACTTGAATCTTTTTACACAAACTGCCGAAGTCTAGCTCTACTAATATATTATCTGTAGTAGTCACATTTCATATTCTGCATTTAAATAGTTTCTATATTTTGCTTTTGTTGCCACATACGTTAACAAAGAATATAACGTTAATAACGTTGCTCTGAGTAGCATGGAAATATTTATAGCTGTGTGAGAAACAATTTTGCATGCACATCGAATGAACAATCAAAATACGAAGCTACTGTTGCAAGTACGTCACTGGTAACGTTGCGGCACGGACTTCGACACCCACACATGAAGCTTCTGATTAATTGTCAAAGGTAACTAAATACATCTATATATATTTTAGTTTGTAGCGTTGCGCGCCTCCAACTTGCACGCAACCAAGAGTTGACTGTGAAAACTGGACAAAAGACAGAGTCTTGTTTAGGGTTTAAGTCCGTTTTTGTCAACTAATAAATTACAGTGGTGCTCTTGACGCTCACAAACGGCGCCAACTCGGCGGTCAATAAAATAATGACCTGAAAGAAACTAAAGACAGACTCTAACTAGAGGCTCTCTAAAAGTACTAACCTCACCGCTTTTTACATACCAGCTGCTATTCACAACTTGAAGTCCTTGAACGATAACAATGCTTCCAGGCAAGCACACAGGCCTAAACAGCGGGGTTCTCTTCAATTTCTGGCTAACTACCAACCACCATACTCCTCCGCTCTCGTGAAGTAAGAACAGCACACCCTCGAACTCGTTTCCTTTCATCTAACTCATAATCTTCCACTGATAATTTGATCCTTGCGCGTTCTACTAAACTTTACATCTCTGCATTGCAGTTCCAGGGGAAAGAAGTCTTGCATGAAGATAGTTTACTAAAATTTAAATAAATGTTAGTTAAAAAATAAACCCCTACAAGAATAAGCATCGTCAACTACTTTAGTAATTTATAATTTCTTTCAAATTTTTTTTTTGACTGGTTGGGTTCCGCTCCTTGGGAAGAACAAAAAACTTAACTGATTACTTTTAAGCCGTTACTTTTGCTGATTTTTGGGCAAAACGCCCAAGCACCTTAAAAATTCTCTTGAAGTTTTATTTTGACACACGGATTCTCCGCTCCCCAGGGTAGTTTTTTGGGTACTCAAAATTTACAAGGACGAATTGGAAAGGCGGTGCTCTACGGATATACAGTAAGAGGGCATAACACAATTCAACGCATAAATGGTACTATACGAAAAACGTTGTAGGCAGATTTGTTGCTCAGTCTGGCCCAGTCGAATGGTTAAGATAGCTGAATATAGGTAATTTGACCTGGGTTCTAACCTAGACGAATCTGCTGTCCACACGGTTGGTTTTCGTGGTTTCCTTACATCATTAACGTAATACAACTAATTTCTCTTAGAAAGTTTTTCACGAAGACAGACAGCTTTTGTGTACTTTGCCAAATTTGAATAACCTGATTTGTTGTTGAGTTTTCTTTTTCAACTCATGTTGTATATTCTTTGTACATATATATATTAGAAGCATTATTTTCGAAGTATTTTATCCTGAATCATTAACCTGTACATACTGCAGTTGAAACATTCAAAAAGTTGCATAATTCTGATTATAGCTAAGCGAATTCTTTTGGATCATACGATAACATTGGCCTTGAGCTGCCATTTAACTATACGTTTTATAGCATTTCATTTTTCAGAATCAACATAAAATATATTTTTTAATTGTTTCTGCAATTTTTACTTCAAATGTGAATAATAAACTTGCTGTGATAAGCAAAAAAATTTTAAAAATTTTTTTGTCAGGTTTCCGGAGAGACACAATTGATATCCATCTGCTATGCGGGCTTTTTTATTGCCTTTATTTAATTGCGACGAGTAAAGAATTGCAGTATTAGGTTAAGATTTTATATATTTCACTTTTATACTCACTGAATAAGGTATTTCTTCCACCTTCTTAGCATATCTTCGGAGTGTAATGGCCAGTACACGCAGTGCCTATTCGAGAAGTCCGGTCCGAGGTTCGAGTCCCGGCGAGGGCATTGCTCATTTTTCACATCTCCTGCTTCAAAATAACCTAACGACTCTACGACTGCATCATTTAGCATGAAAACGGCTTTTTCAGTCTTGCAGCCCATACCGAAAACTATTTGCACCAGGTCTTAGAAGAGAAACTGATGACTATTTGGCCCAATTGACATACTGAGCTTGATATGCCTGCTCTGGACTCAAACTCTATTTTTTGTGCTGTACGATTTCTTTATTTCCTAAAGATCAAAATACACGTTCAAAAGTCATAATTTTTGGATGGTTGATAACGTTTAGGCAGTTATAACGAGAGGTTTGAACATTTGAAATAACGATTTCTTCTCAGCAAAGCTGGAAATGTCATACTCATTTACAAGGTATTTAATATATTGATGATAAACTGCTATCTCATGTACGTTAAGGGAATAAGAAATAATTTTTTAAAAAAATATTCTGACTATTTCTGAGATACCTTATATAGCATGTATGTAACAACTTTAATTCTGCTACTGAAAAATTAAACAATAAAAAATATCTAGATAAATTATGAAGATGATATATGACAACGCTTTATAACTCGTTTATTTCATTTATTCATTAAACGAAAATATAAGATAAACACAAATAGATAAATAAAGATAAGGTGACTGAACATTCTCATATTGCATAATGAAAGAAACATTCGGTAAATATGGATATAAAGATATATTTACATTTTAGATCAATTTAAGAATATTCATATACATAAATCTATATACACACTATTATCTTCAATACTATACTGCTTAACTGGGTTAAATTCTAACTACGGTAGAAAAGTCTCCTCACAAATGTGAATACATTTCTAATTGTTAAGTCCTGCAAAAGTACAATCAACAGAAAATTCAAAGTCCTGCAAAAGTACAATCAACAGAAAATTCACTTTGTATCAGAAAAAGCTAAAATACATTGTTGAGAAATTTATTTTATGCAGTTTGTAACTGATTTTAAACTTTAGTTGTTATCAGTGAAATCATAAAATAATCCGTCAATGAAAACCCTTTTCAAATCAGACTGAGAAGTTTTCCAATTGCTTCGATAAGTAAAGTTAATTCCCGTTTTAGTACAAAATGATTCTGTTTCAATTCCATAGCACATAACAGGTTTTACGTCCTCAATAGTAATACTAATTGTTCCTTTCTGTCCTAGGGGTACTAAAAATTCTTCTCGAAAACAGATAATTATTATTGGTTCTAAACTTTTGCATCTAGTCTCTTCCAGATGAACGGAATCCTCACAGTCTGTTGACATATTGCAACATATCTTCAAAGTTTTATTTCCGTGGAATTCTGATGGTTGCAGTCTAATTCGGATGCCCAGGACTCTAAGATTCTCATTGGCGTCAACCACAATCTCGTTCTTGAGATGACACGGAAATTCATCATTCAGATCAGTACATTCAACTTGCTTGAGCTGAAAGCTTAAATAAAACGGGTTTAGAAACACATTTTTCTTCATAAAACAATACCCGACCATAGGTTCTGCAGTGTTTACAGTGCTCAGTTTGCTGGATTCCGAAAAGCGTTTCTTGTAGAGATCAGCAACTTTCAGAACTTGATCTAATTCCAGCGTTTTAGCTAGTTGATGGATTTCATTCACATTGTCCAAAGTTATTGGATTTTCCGAAATGAATTCTTCGCATATTCTTTGCAAAGGCTCTATTTGATACAATAGAGCTGTATAATAAGTTTCTAACGCTATTTTGCATGAGCTAAGCTCGACTGCGTCTTCCGAAGCAAACCTGTAAAACGAAAAACACTTATTAGATTTCCTTGTTGAAATGATTTTAAGTTAATAGTTTGAAGAAATTCTAGATCATTCACTCAACAAGTAAATGTAGTCTGAAGAGTAAAGTAATCAGAAAAGCATTATGCAAAAGACTTTTAAGCAAATTATACAGTACACTAGGTTAATAACTAATAACTATTTATTTCAAATAATTTAAAAAAAAGACTGTGTTTCGCTAAAGCATAATTTCACTCATGAGTATAATATAAATTGAATGAATGCTTTAACAAATGACTTTGCATTTGAACAAATGAAATGTTTGAACAAATGAAATGTTTGAACAAATTTTCAAATATTCATTGAAAAAATTTTTAAGAAATAAGGCAACAAAAAGACTATTAAACAAATGCTTAATGATACAAAAAATTCTTGAAATGATTCTATAAAACACTCTACTAGGATATGTTAATGGACATTTTCCTCTATCAGAGTATAGTTGCTATTTCGGTTACCTTGGTAGATGTTGCTACATTCCTACCCAGTCTGTAACCCCTAGAATGCCATCTAAAAGTCCCATTCCATGCACTATAGTCGTCATGTCTTTTCCTGAATTCTTTTAACTATTTCAGATTTCTACCTCCGACAGTCGTCTTAATTTAAAGAAAAATGAAACCGCAAGTGACTAAATTAGAACATCAAGGAATAATAGAAAATGCAACCACATAGTTTCGGCCAAAATCTTTTAGTTAGGCATATACATGAGGGCTAACCAGTGGCCGAGAGGAAAAGTCGCTAAGTATTCATAGTTCGGCCGGATTTAAATCCCGCGAATGGGCTGGTTGAGCGTTTTCGTGACTTTCTCCATGTGTAATGTGAATACGAGTGAGTTTCTCTCAGAAAATCCTCTATGGAGGTACCCTTTCCTTAAGCAAATAACATTCTGAGGTTTAGCATAATCAAATAAACGATAAACCAAACCAGTTATTTGCTGACATGAGCTTGTATGAGCAACCAGACATGGCTGCACAATGGGAATAATGAATCATCTAGTAATCAATGGCTTTTGGGCTCTTAAGAGGTTATATAGGTACTCAACTACGTTTACACAGACATTCCAGCGTAGCAAACCTGTAGTCATTATATAATGAATGTTGAAGTATTTCTCTAATGTTGAAGTATTTCTCTATGACTAATATGCAGCACTAATTGGCTCACAGCGCTTCTTACAGGGTTTGAAAACTTTTCCAGTATAAGGATTGCTTTTGTCACTCGGTTGTGTGCATAAACCCCCTTTATATCGACAGCATGAATATCAGTTTCGGTCAGCAATCAGAAGTCTCTGAAATCTTGATATATCTGTATTTGATTTGCTTTTGCTGAAAATAATTAAGGAGAAGGACTTTTATAAAACTCCTCACGATGGCAGAATAACAAGAGCTATTATCTGAGATATCAATGAGACTTCGAAAAGAATTATGAATATTTAAACATGAAATTGCAGTTTCTATGTTTGCAAAGAGAGCTCTAAAAATCTTTTAGACTTTTGATTACGTACTGAGAAACCTTTGATAGTATTAAATCATAAGATCACTTAATATAAGAAGATCGCAAAATTTTTCAAAAAACAAAGGAAAACTTTTCATTCCTTAAAATAAATAAGCATAATTTTAGTTGCAGCTTTGAGGTACTTTTCATTGTTTTTTGAGCAAATAATGTTGACTTCAGAAAGCTATTGTTAGTGGTTTCGAAAATATAGGTTGAGAAATCACGAAACGATATATCAAAGCCATGCATCCCGATACAAGTAACTTGACTCTATTTGCACGCTAGAAAGATGTTTCATATTCATATTGGAGTGTGAGCTTCTGATTTTCGCTATGGAGTTATACTCTGAAATAAATATAAATTTGGAAAAATTGGAAATTATGATATTATTAGACATGTAGGCATATAGGGTATGTCAAAAACAGCTGACTAATTTCAAATGATCGCAGCATATTATACCCACAGTTTATGAATTTATGTTCTTGAAGCGAAACAAGATGGTGCATACAAACAGCTATAAGGAAGTGAGTGAATTTAATGCTATCACTTGTTTTACAAGCAACCAAAGAGGTTTGCTGACTTTGGATTCAGCCGGCACTCACCCAGGGCAGCACCATAGCATAAGGAAATGGTTTTTTGGGGATCCCGGTCAAATCGCCCACTTTGAAAAAAAAAATGTAAAAATAAAATAAGTTTCCTTTTACTTTACAAAATAAATAAAAATTTATCTATATACTCAATTAAAATTTTATCTAAATCTGCACGTTTCCTTTTTTTATTAAGATGTACTGATACAAATGGTTCACTGTACATGAACAACATTTGGCTGACTAGCTGATCTGTAGGTGGGACGTGATACGATATTGGGTGTGTATTACATGGTGCGCATAAGTCTAGTAAAAACATTAAACATAGCAAGAGTAAAGAGACGATTTTTGGCTCTAAATATTAAATTTATAGAAGTGATTAGCTAGTTGAAGTCTTGAAGTAACTTTTTATAGAATAAACTGTATAAATATTTTGTATAAAATGAATTATCATCACGTTTCCGGTGAAAAAAAAAAAAGCGTAAGAAGAAAAAATAATGGTCCAAGTTCCAACATGCAGTTCCAACATCCAATAAATTTAATGTGGAATGGTCCAAGTTCCAGCATGCAGGAAGAAACAAAAGAACAACAACAACAAAAATGCTCTGTTTAAATATGTTGTTAATATAAAAAACATATAATATTGATGTGGAAGTTCAGACTGAAGCAAATATTATAGAAAAATAAGTTGGTGAATATTCTGGAAAACAAGAAGTACACGCAGAAATGACAGAAAGCAAAGAAACTGAAAATGAAATAACAGAAATGAAAAACATAGAAAGCATACCAGATATAGTGGAGAAAAACCAATATGCAACCGAAGATGAAGAAATTCAACATATAGAATATATACCTAACACCATTAATGATACTTTAGTTTTTGAAATTTTAGACATTTTTTGTGGCCTTTAAATTTAACAAAAGACATGCCAAACATTATTTGCCTAAAAATAAACCACTATCAAATATTTCATTTATACATACCGCTAAAAATCTAGTAACAGAAGGTGAAGAAATTGTAATTCGGTCATTGAAGAAAAACATTTTTAGTCGCGACAACACAAATCGTAAAAACGTTGAACAAAAAGTAAAGTAATTTACTGCTATGCTTGCAAAATATTTTCGATTAAACGAATAACTTTTACAGAAAGATACATGGACTGGAAAAATGCAAATGTAAGAGTGCAAAAATCTGAAAATTCTACTGATCATAGATGATCTATTAAAATTTTAACAACAAGAAATTCAGTTGAGGGACGTATAGAAACTATCGTTGAAAAGGAAATAATATTGAAAGAATTAGAAGAATAAAAAATATTGGAGAAAAGTACTGCTACGGGTAATAGCAACAATAAAGTTTTTGTCTAAAAATTCTCTTGCATTTCTTGGCAGCAATGGACACTTTTCCGCTTCTCATAGTGAAAATTACATAGGAGCTCTAGAATGTTTAGCAGAATTTGATGAGGTTTTAGCTTCACATATAAAAAAATTATCTTTCGTCACCTATATGCGATGATTTTATTGAAATATTCAACAAAAGAATGTTAGAAACATTCGTATCAGAAGTCAAAGCCGCCAAATAGTTTTCAGTTATAATTGATTTGACTCCTGACATAACACACGTAGACCAGTTAACTTTTATATTGCGTTATGTATCAGAAGATGGAAATACCAATAGAGAGATTTTTTTGATTTTTATCAATTTATTCTCATACAGGGGAATCATTAGAAGATGAAGTTTTAAAGAACCTTGAAATATTAGGTCTGGATATTTGCAACTACAGATGACAAAGCTACGACAATATGGCAAATATGTCTGGAAAATACAATGGGCTCCAAAACCGCATTAAAAACATAGTCAAATTTCCCATTCCTCTCCTTGTGTTTCGCATTTGTTAAATCTGATAGTAAGTAGTGCTGGTGAATCATGTTCGCAAGCAATAACATATTTTAATTAATTGGAGAACATTCATACATTTTTTTTCTGCGTCTGCTCATATGTGGAACACTTTAGAAAAAAGTTTGCAGCAAATAATAAACATTTTACAGAAAAAAAATATGTACTACTAAATGGTCTCCTAGAGCTGATGCAGTTAAAGCAATTCGCTCTGGGTTCAGCGAAATAAAAAGTGTTCTGCTTGATATATCTCTATATGACCAAGACCCTATTATACCAATCTCATATGCGGCAAGTAATTTTGGCAATTACTTGCCGCATATGAGATAATTGCTCTAACAGTTTGAGAAATTTATTTCTGGAAATAGAAGCGGAGACATTAAACGCATTAGGAATAAAAACGTATTCCGATACTGGTAAAAGGTTGCGAAAACTGAAAGAATTTTTTGATATAGTTCATCATGATGACGATGACAAAAGTTCATGTAATCAGGGTCAAGAAGACTTAAGACGAAACTGCTTTTACATAATTTTATGTGACAAAATATATTTTCAACTAAAACTACGTAACAAAAGTTGCAAAGACATTAATGAGATTTTAAAAATATTTCATTCAAACACAAATGACAATGTATCAATTGAATCTGAAGATACCACATTACTAAAAATATCGTAAAGTGAAGGCATTAATACAAAAGAACTGTATAAGGAAATGTTACATTTTCTATTATTTTGTAAAAGCCGAAATTTAACGTTGGCATCTGATATGCTATGATTTATAAAGACTACAAAAGTTGTATTCACATTTCCAAATATAGAACTCCTATAACGTATATTTTTAACTTTGCCTGTATCTAATGCATCTAGTGAAAGATCGTTTTGGGTGTTAAAACGCTAAGCTAACTAATTAAGTTTAACTAACTAACTTAATTTAGTTTAGCGTTTAAACTATTACGAAACTAATTAAGCCAACAAAATATTAACTTCTTTAGCTGTACTATACACAGAATTAAATGCGTTGGGCAATATTGATTACAATTGATAAATTTGCAGAATTGAAGGCCAGAAAGAAGGATTTTTGAATTAATTTCATATAATTTTTTCAAAACTATGGTTTTTGACATATAACAAAAAAATTCGTTTTCTTATTTATAATATACAAGCAACAATTTCCAATTCTATTGATTATATTGATACATAAAAAACGCCTGTTTATAATTATACTAACAATGGATACTCTATTAAAGATTTTTGAAAAACGCACTCTTTTTGTTAATTATTATTATATACCTATAACTTGCTATTTTGTTAGAAAGTTCTCGTAAAAATTACATAACACCCCGGATGTAGGGAACCGGCAGGAAAAAATGTCTAGGGCCCCCAAATAGGTAAATCAGTCCCCGCACTAAAGACATTAAGAACTTCTTTGCAAAAAGAAAATACATCAAATAATGACTCTAACTGGAAGGACTGCCAATCTCAAAATTCTTGATGCAAATTCGAAGACAAACTGTTCATGGAAATTAATCATTGTAATGAAAACAGAATGAAGAGAAATCAGTATGGAGACCAAAGAGTCTAGTATTAAAGATATCATGTTTAAGGTTAAGAATTCACGGGGTTAAAGTATTGAATAAACGTTTGCCAGTGCACTACTAACAAGCTACGTGACTAACAAGTAGCAGAATTAAGACCACTGAATACTAGTAATCTTGGCTTCAGCTCAAATCACAGTAAAGAGACTATCTCCAGAGAATCCTCTTGGTTCTTCACACATCTAATGTAAATGGGAATAACGTTCCCCTTATAGTAGCGGCTCACCAACGGCCGAAAGGTAAAGTCGCTGAACACTGGTAGTTCGGTCCGAGGTTCGAATCCCACGAACGGGCTGGCTGCATGGGCGTTTTCGTGGTTTCTCCATGTGTAACGTGTATACGATCCAGTTTCCCTTAGAAAGTCCTCCACGAAGGCATCCCTCCCCTTAGACAGATAGCCCTCGTGTGCTTCGCCATAATTAAATACACCAACACACCCCTTATAGTAGATCGTATATTGGTGTGCTTTTTCTCAATCACTAGTCTTGCTTTTTTTTTTTTTTTTTTTTTTTTTTTTTTTTTTTTTTGCTTCATGCTTAAAATTTTGAAAATAGAAAAATTAGTTCTTAGTTCATTTTTTAAATTTTTCATTAAAATTTATTTAAGAGCTTTGACATAAACTAATTTATATTTTCAAGAAATTATGAGTAAATGCATGGATTAAAATAGACTAAAAATCTCCCTTTTTTTTAATACAATAAACTGTCTTTTAGACAATCTCCCACAATGGCAGATAATTTTGATCTTTTTAAGAGATCGTTGTAATAGTTGTAATAGAAAGGTTACGCTTAAAATCAGTGTTTGTTTATATTTTGAGAAATATTACTACTTCCATAGATTTTTGCCTTAATGAATTACTCAAAGAAGGTTCGCTGTGTTTTTACAAGTTTTTCTAAATAAAAGCTTAATTGCTCTTTAGCATGAAAAAGAAACTTCAAAAAATTATTTTACGAATTTTAAATAATTACATTAAGTAAATGTAAGTTATTTGTAATAATATGTTATACTGTTGTAATATATTGCTCAGTCTTAATATATTGTACAATACGTCCCAAAATACTTTTTATTGTTTATTATATATTACACATTATGTTAAATTCTTTTACGTATTCTGATCAGTATTTCCTTAACATTTTTTCATAGATGTGCAGAGCAGAAATATATAGCTATGTGCTATGGACACTTAGCTGCATATATTAGAAATATTGCAATAGTATAGTACATTATTCGGACGGTCATGAAGGCTTTATACGTCGCAGTCTACTGTGCGAAGACGGCACAGCACGGAGAATACGGCAAAGCACATTAGGGCTATCTGCCTAAGGGGAGGGAAGCCTTCGTGGAGGACTTTCTAAGGGAAACTGGCTCGTATACACGTTACACATGGGGAAATCCACGAAAACACTGTGCGAAGAAAGTAAATTTAAAAACAAGTTCACAAAAATCAGGTATGCAGTTTAGAAAAATCATTTTGAGCCCCAGACAATATATCTGAAAAATGTATCTAAATGAAATCTAATTTATTTATCAAAAAATGCACAATGATTAAAAATTAGCTGCTAAAACACTGTAGTTAAAACATTTAAAATTAAATTTTGCGGTATAACCCTATTTTGTGACTTCCAACATTACAAACTTCAGCTTCCCAATTCCACAGATTCTCGAAGCAAAAGTGTTAAATACAGTAAACACTTGTTCGAACGTAGGGCTTACATCATTAAAATATTGCACGTACTCTAAAATAGCGTTTCGCAAAGTTAACTTTCTATGGGAAAACGTGTTAGGTATAATTCAAATTAAGGACGTGCGTGTAATTTAAACAAACCTAAATACTGTTACGTGCGTACTCATTCGTAATGGAATGAATGCACACAGAACCGCTGAGAGCTTGATAAAATTTATTTTCCCAAAAGAAACACTTCACAGTTCTGGAGCTTTCCACAAAAGCACTCACACAGTTTTTCTCCACACAAACAGCAGTTACACTTCAAATTGTTAAGAACTTTAAACCCAATGCAATGCAAAGCGGATTTAAAAGGCGAAGCTCTCACGGATATCTCAATACTTCGAAGTCAGCTCTGAACGAATAACGAACTCAGAACTGACGCTCTCTTCGGGCAATTTTTCCCCCGGTCGCCGAGAAATCTTTAATATCTTACAGTTCTCGAAATTACTGGAAGGCACATATGGTTAAAGTTACATATAAGCCTGGATACGGTTACAGTTGCATATAGGGATCTATTAGAGTTATTCAGTTACAGTACCTATTGGAGTTATTCAGTTACAGTACCAATTAACAGTTACACAAGGACTGAACCAAAATGTCTCCAAATGGTCTCCAAGTTTGGCGTCTTTTGGCGACTTTTCACCACATTTGGTAGCAAAAAGTAGTTGCCAAAACCATTAACAGCTTTATGATATCTCGCCATTTTCGCGAGATAGGCATTTACCTCAATGTTAAATAGACTTGCCACTGTAATCTTAATTTTCTGTCAGAGCCTTCATCTCTCTTCAGACTTTTCATGTTACATTATACGAAAGATACTACAATTTCACTAAAATTATTTACATATATATTATTATTAAACAATATTGTTTTAATTAAAAGGGAAAAACATTAATTGAAGGGAATTTTATTACTGCTTAATAAATGCATGATACAATTATTTTTAAAACGTTAGTGATTTTTGCTTGGAATAATGACTGCCGCAATTTTTTAAAAGTTTCTTGGTATGAAGAGCAAAATGTTCTGTGTCTCATAACTGACTTTTTCTATTTTCATTTGGGTCAATCTCCATTACGAAATCAGACGATACCGTCCATTTTTTAACAGAACTTTTTGTAAGTTAAAGACGCTTTATCTTTTTACGATTGCTTTCACTGTTGACTGGTGTTATTATATCATCCAATACTTTAATCGCCATTTCTCGATTAATTGTTTGAATTCTCTTTTCCTGCATCTGAAAATTTCTCTTCAATGTCATTTGCTTTTGCAGTTTGTACGATTTCTTTGGCTTCATTTCCGATCAATGGAATCCTCCAAAACTGTTGATACATTCTGACCAGAGCTGATTCCAGCAAGCATTCACTACTGATATTTGTTTGCAATGTAACTGATATGCAACTTTGAACCGTGTAGAAAAAAAATTCCAGCGTTGGAAAAATAAATAGAAACAATTAAGGTTGCCTTAATGTCCATGCGAAATCGGGTTCTACAAATCTGCTTTCGACAAGGGTTCGCTATATTGAACAGATACATGTGAAATCTTAATTTTTATAATCTAGCCATTTATGAATTTTACTTACATATTATGCACTCTATAATATAAAAGGGATGTACTAAGAAGGAATTATCAGAATGGGACGAAACTGCGTATGTTTATACTTTACGATAGAGTATGCAAATGATTAATTTTTCGAGGCCAGTAATTGATTAGCTGGAGCATCCATATCTTGCATAAAAAAGAACCCACTAAAGTCCAAAGGGGTTATCACATCTAGCGACTGTCTTCGCTAGACGGAACTTTTTTTATAAACTAGATTCTGGTAGCATTGGTTTAAACGGGAGGATTCCTAGAGAAAATAGGAAACAATGTCTTCCGCTGGAAGCGAAGTCTCACCTAGCTACGGAAACGGTTTTCCGGCTACGCGGGATATTTTGAAACTTCGCCTAAAATATTCCGTCTGCAGCTCTGTCCCAAGTAGAGATCAAATAATCAGACGAAAGTTCTTCTTCTGAAGGATCACACGATCCCAATCTGAGCGATAATCGGTTACTGTTTGGCCTTCAAGTCTGTTTAGTAAGTGAAAATTGTAACCTAACTACGTGGAAATGTGCGGGTTCTGAGAAATGTCCCTTTCAACTTCTATTCCCGCGTAGCGAAAGCATATGTGATAGGAACTTTAGGCATACCTTCCATGCGAATGTGGTTCTGTCGACCCACGTGGATTGGAACCAACAGTATGTCCGCGAACAGTATGAGTAGAAGTCACCATTTGAAAGCGAGCGTGAAGTTGGGCTAAAGGAAATAGGGTGGTCAAATTGCAGGATCGCTAGACATGTGTGTCGGAGGGATATTACCATTCGATAATGTTGGCAAGAATATGTGAACGAGGGTCGTACAGAGCGTCAAGAAAATAGTAATTGAAAGAGAACGACGATAGAACATAAGGATGGAGTAATCATCCGATCGGCACTCACAGCCCCTGATGCGTCTTTATCAACGATCCGAGATGTAACAGGGATAAAAGTGACTGAAATGACCATTGATAGCAAAATCAGAGAAAAGAGACTGAAGTTGCGGAGGCCATTTCGCCGATTGCCCCTCACCATAACAGACCCTCAGCCACCTTTTCAGTAATTCTGGCCGCATTATACCTGGGATCTCACGGACTGGAATAGAACTGTTTTCAGCGATAAATCTCGTTTCGAAAAGATACCCAATGACTAGGGAAGACAAGTCTGGAGAAGAGCAAAACAGTGGTAGGGTACTCACCTGACTGTCGTTCGATACACATCCCAACAACTAGGAATTAGGTTATGGGGTATCATTTCATTTGATAGCCGGATCCCTTTGGTTGTCATCCGTGATATTCTTATAGCACGGCGGTACGTTGACGAGATTCTACTCCTGTAGTATTACGCTTACTTTCATGGACTCCGGGCTTATCAACAACGTGATGTTCAGCCTCACATTGCACACCTTTCTAATGCTTATCTTCCTGTCTCTTCACTGCTTTCTTGGCCGAATTCTTCCCAGAAGAGCACGTTTGGCCTATGACGAAGGGGCGTCTCCAACATTCCCTTGGATGCGGCAATTTAATGCTCCATTTAGAATGTGTATAGGAAATAATTTTGTAGGAGAACATCCGCCAACTTTAAAGTCAATACGCAGCCAGATAACAGCATGCATCAGGACCAAGATGGGCAAAAGCATTATTTATTTCGTTTCGCTATTGTAGCTGCATTTTCTGAAAAAGCATTCAATTCCTATGATACTGTTAGCGTTTGATGTTATAGAAGGTATTTGTAATTTTTGGTTACCAATATAATTGCTTTCAGTCACGTATATAATAGTTTATGATGTTTTTTTATCAGTATGAACTAATCAGGCTGAAAACTTTCAAACAAATTCTATTCATTTAAAAACAAGCAATGTTAAATTAAAAACAAGTTATTGTTAAATAATTATATGCTAGGTAGTTAAACTATAAAAGCAACTCTGACGGCCGAACAGGAGCTTTTTTATCACTTATCGATATTTTAGAATGTTGCCAAATTTTTGTGATAAAAAAATATTCATTTTTAGCATTTTTTAATTGCCTAAAGCTTTAATTACTAATTTTAACTGATGTCATTCATTCTAAACATGTAAAATCATATTAATGTAAATCAGTTGAAAGTCTGGAAGTCTGGGAAACTCTGCGTTTTAAAGGAATTTTAAAAATAATTTTTTCTCGAATTTCTTTAAGACCGCATTGAAACACTGGACATCCTGTTGTTTAATATGTAAACAAAACAGCATTTTTTAAAAGATATTTGTAGAATTTTCTTCTTATATTGTAAAACAGAATAGTGTGCATTACAAATGACTTACATTAATAAAATTATAGAGATCTACTTAACGCCTAAGCGGTTAATTTATCACCAGTGGTCGCCAAACTTATGAAGCTTCTGATCTACCATACCGTTTTTAAATCCTACTGTAAGCTAACAACCAAAAGAACTACCAACTTTTTAAAAAGATATCTTCCTTAGCTTATGCCTATAAACTTACATTTCTAGTAAATATGAAATCAGTTTTAATTAAGCTGTACCTAAAAAGAAGAACTGAAATTGAATTGTGCATAAGATTGGATTGGATTGAATTATTTAATTATGTAAAGCACACGAGGGCTATCTACCTAAAGGAAGGGATGCCTTCGTTGAGGACTTTCTAAGGGACAATTGTACATAAGAAAAAAACTGAAGTGTAGTTAGCAATAAATAACTAATGTAATAATAGAATTTTTCTCAGACTTATTAACTTTAATGAGAAGGACGGAATTCCTTTTTTTATCATTAACAAGTATTTTAATATTGGGAGAGTAAAATAGCGTTTACCATTCGTATGCAGTTGTCCAAGCGTTCAGTGAGTCTGTTTCTGTACATATTTTTAATAAATTTCATACTGGGAAAAATGAAATCTCACGCAAGTGTTAGAGCTGAACATTGCCTTCACTTTGAGACAAACCTGGAGAAAATATGGGTATTTTTCTTTAGGAACAAGAGTCTAAATATTTTCAGAGCTTGAAGAAAGCGATTTTACAGATAAATCATTTTGAAAATCAATCAGCTCCAACTCCACTGCAGCACTGTCTTCTTGAAAATCTAAATGCTCCATGACACAAGTATAGAACTCTTCAGTATCAAACTCTATAAAAGGCGATTTGAGAAACTGTGCAACAATTGAAATCCTTTTGGAATTTTGAAAGCGTTTGTTGAATTCATTTCCCTAATCTGAAAAAAATTATTATTAGTTTTGTGTAACATACTTTGCAGTATTTAACAAAATAACAGATGATCTTTCTAGTAAAACACAAATTTTATTTTTAGTTTACAGAGATAGATAATTTCAATACAGTCTTTTCGTTACAAATATTTCATACATCTACCAGCTGGTAAAACTTTCAGAATAACAACTGAGTTGTATCAACTGAATCAGTCGATTCGTAAAGTTGCAAGAAGAAATAGCAGCAGAGACATAGGTCAGTTTTAAGCTGTGAGGTTAATGTCAAAACTTTCATAACCTCAATCCTCCTCATTACTCTATTTCCAGAAAGCTGCACAGATTTAATAGCAGACATTATTTCAGTTTTATTTTTGAAACTATTAAAAAACGCATCTGCAGCTTCTAAAATTCCAGTTTTGATTATTTCACGGCCTTCGTATGGTTTCTTATTTTGTGCAATAATATTTGAAACTCGGAATGACGCCTCAGTTGCTGCTGTATTCTTGTTTAATAGTTTTTAAGCAGTTGATTGTTGAGCATTAAGTTTAGATTTTAGCTGCCTTACATTTTCCTTCCTTAGATCAGAATTTCAGTGGGAGATCCTTTTCAATCTCTGCTTGAACGGTTTTGAAGTGACATTCTACGTTCCCTTTCTTCCTAACTGATGCTCTTGTATAGCACACACTTTTGTCCTTACCAGTGTAAAGAAGTAATCGGTTTCGTATTCGAATGAAAGTGGTAATTTTTTTGCTTAAACAGGCCGCCATTAGAATAGACCTAGCTTAGTACCGATGCGTAAATCAAACTTTCAGAGTTAGCAACTGTCTAATTATACGCACGAAATACAGCCCCGTAGTCACAGTTACTAGTACATTAAGACTCAGAGCGCTGTAATATGGAATAAAATCTATGAATTTTAAATTTGTTTTTAGTAAAATTGATAAGCAGGAAAGCTCATTTCCAAAGTGAAAATAACTAAATTAATGAAGATTTGAATGATTGCATCTTTAAAAAAAAATTTTTTTTATGAATTTTTACTTTATAAAAGTCTATATAAAAGTCTAAGTATTATAATAATCTCTATAAATAGAAAAATATCGAAGTTCAGCTACAGATGGCACCACTAGACGATTAAGGCCACCGGAAACAGTATTTGCGATCAAAAGTCATCAATAGTCATGTTGAAAAATATGCAAGACCCTGTAAGCAAAGAATCCATAACTATTTCATTGTGAATTAATTTTTTTTCTAGCTATTAAACTTCTAGGGAAAAAATATGTGTATTGTTTTTCAGACTCCCATAGAAGCACAGCGCCATTACGCACATAAATTACATCTTCATTATGAGGATGTCAAATTAATTAAAAATATTTTTATTAAAATAAGTATAATTTTAAAAATATGGTTAAGTTTAATTAAAATTCGAAAACGATTAATTTTGTCAGTAGCATATTTATTTTTAATAATTACTACCATTAAAATCTCAGAAATTATATTTTTGAATAATTAATTATACAAATTTAGTACTTCAACTAAGTTTATAATTTAAATTAAATTTACGCTTTTACAAGATTGAATGTTTATATTACATATGCAGTATTGCTCGAAAAATTGCACAAAATATTACACAAATTTAGAAGCTGAACAACGTTAAGCTAGAGAGGGAAAAGGGGAGGAAAACCTATTAAAAATATTTTGAAAACTTTAATAAATAAATATAGAACTAAATAAAAATGTTTAAATAAAGGAATAAAAATGTTTATTTTTTTCTCTTCTCTATCTCATGTGATTACATCAGAAAAAAATTTGCTTTGATTATAGCTTGAGAAACCAGTGCAGATTTCTACAGAATGCCATTCTAGAAATACTATGTTACGTATCTTATATTAATTAACCAGTTATGATTTAAATCTTAAGTATAATTTCTTCCCGTATTAATCATGAGAATGCAAATTATATTTATGTGTATTTAAGCTGACGTTTTTTAAATTTCAAATCACAGCAGAATCTTTACATCAGGCAACTGTGCCTTGCTATTAGTATTCCCGCCAGCTCTGTTTAAAAGTCATACTATGAATTTAGCAACTTGCTAACAAATCTTTCAAAATATGCATCGGTAAAATACCTGAGCCAACTTAAATTACTTTATTCTATCCATTCTTCATAAATTGTGAAAATGTTTTTTAAATTTTTGCACAAATCTCTACGGAATCTTTATACATAACTCTATATATAATTTTATATGTAGAATTTTATAGACTTCTATGAAATATTTTTGACCTAGTTTATATAAAATTGAGCCATAATTCTGAAGGATTCTGAAAAAGCTGAATATTGGATTTTTTATATAGAATTTTATAATATACTTTTATAAGTTTGAATTTGAATTTTGTTTTGTTAATTTAAATATCCACAAGGTAGTGGAAGTTTCGTCTGTATCACAAGTTGTACCTGTTCTGTTACATTTTAGGACAAATAAAAAGGTTATTTTAACGTCCTTTAGTATTTTGTGAGTTCTTTAAGAAGAACGATAAGTAGCGATAACTCGCTCTTAGTCTATTTGCAGGACATTAGGTTTCAGTTATAACAGAAACCATACAATTTTACTGATTTTTCAAAGCAGTATCTTTATAGAACCCTTTTGTGTGAAAACTTTTAAAAATTCTTTAGAATTTTATAGAATATTTCTATAGAAGATTACATGTAATTCACTATAGGGATTTCTATAAGGTTTTATCAAACTGTATAAAAAAGTTTAATAAGATAACCTACGTATCAACTATCTTTATAAAACGTATCAACCAGGCTTAAAAAAATATAATTCTGACATTATGCACATGATTATACGCAATACGATTCAGTAACCCAGCTGCTATTTTTAGCGTCAAAGTGTAGAAAGTAGTTGTTCGCCGCTTTTTCGGATGCACAGACTGTTTTTCATCATTAATAGACAGACTTGCATCAGCGATAAGCAAGTGGGAGTTGTTTATCGATTACGAAGTTTTCAAATTAATAAAATTCAACATTCTTTTCCTCCCGTGCTCTACCATACTTAATTACTATCTTAAATTGTACGTATACAATTACTAGTTCTAATATTTGTTTTATAATCATGCATTATTTCTGCTTAGACAACAATACAGACATACATTAATTTTTATTATTGTTTAGACTCATTATATGCATATTTGCTGTTCTTTTATTAACAGGAGAACTAAGCATATCAATATTTTTGATCGTTTTATCAGCAATATGAGTCAGTTTAAGACAGGTCTCATGATGAATTAATTCGAATAATGGAAAAGATTGACTGTATCATGGAGAAGTATTTAAAATTGCACCCAGTCTCGTATATAACAAGAAAAAAAAATTAATATGAAGGAAGATTTTATTTTCTGCAGGATTTTCTCTATAAAATCTTACCACAATTCCGCATAAAACGTAAACGAAGCATGGAGACTTCGTAATCGATTACAAACTGCAAAGTATATCAGCTCTTTCGCATCGATGGTGAAAGGACAGTGTATGTCATCCGAAACAGCGGCGACCAAAGTAGTTTTAAAAACATAGAAAGGTAGCCTTAAAAATTCTGGGAATTCTCTCCAGTGTTATTTTTAGCGTCAAAATGTCCGAAGCAGTCTTATAAACATAAAAAGATAACCTCCATTTCCGGGAATTCCTTCCAGTGCGTTAAACTGCATGAAATTCTCTATTCCGCTAATCAACTAATTTTGAAGTTTGTCTTCAGTACAAATTTTAAAATTAATCTCTCATTTAAAGTATATAGATGATTAATAAATGAAACTGAAGTGCTAATTCTTCCTAATTTTTATAAATCGATTTTATCCTGAGAACCCTTTATCAGCTTCTATCACGTTAAATGATAAATTTTATTATCAATTTGAAGAAACTTACTTCATTAGGCAGAGAAGTGCATCTGGAGTTATATTCCTTACCACAACGTCCCGGCCTGCCTTAGTTGGATTTAATTCCTTCAGAGTTGGATATTTTTGAATACACTCAAGTAATTTGTTTTTTGGAACTCTCATCACCTTTCTAAAATTATTCTCAATTGGTACAGATAGTCGCACTATTTCCATCGTGAAACTTTTCCAGCTGTTTGAAACGAGCCTTTGATGTGTCTAATCACACCATTTGGCGAACAAAAAGCAAGTAACAGAATACTAGTTGGGTGCATTTTATCAGCATTGTGCTACTGTGTGCTGATAAGATATCAGTCTCTTTTGTTTAGGTTTACAATTGGTTAAGGTTCGCATTTCTATGCAGAAAAAGAATATTTAATCACAATCATTTACACTGCACTTGAAAGAAAAGAATTATATCAAAAATTGTGCGTGATGAAAACAAATGTACCTATGTTACGCTAACAATCGTCAGTAAAAATGCTATAACAGGTCTTATACTTCAGGTTTTTATACACACACTGGCCTATGAATTAGAGACCTTTGAGATTTTCATTTGAATGTTTGCTAGGGATGTGCAGAACTTTATCTACTTCATACTATAGAAAAGTGCACAAAATTATCTAAATCATTCTTTAGAATTTTAATAATTGTATTTTCTCCGAAAATTAGAAAATTTCTTGCTTTTTATAGATATAACAATATATTTTCCCCTACTTTCAGAGTAAATCATTAAGTTTTAATGCTCATTCATCTAATGGTAAATTTAACTTGAAGTTCAAATTTCTTATATTACTTTCCTGTTCACTCCGACTACATAACTCCTAAGTGACAGTAGGAATATTTAACATATGAAAATTTGTCATCTCTTAAAGTATGTAATTAATGAGCTCACTAACGGCCAAACAAATCAGACTGCTGAATACTAACAGGTCAATCTTTGGTCAAATATATGCAAATAAGCTGGCTGCATGTGTGTAAACATTAATATAAACAGCTTTTTTTACGTAACTATTTACCTACACAACAGTTACTAGGACTTTATGAATTATATTGTCGATGGTGTAAAAATATAAAAATGAAGTAAAAGGTATCTTATTTTGATACCTATTAAACAATATCATTAATTAAATAGTACACAAAAACATGAATTGTAATAAGTGCTAATTTTAATGTGATATTAATGTAATGTACACAAAGAGAATTCATAAATTATGTTCAATATTCTGCTCTTATTATATTATAAATTTATAATGTATTTTCTTTTCCTTAAGATCTATTTCCATTTGACATGAATGTTTGATGAATCATTTATTTGATCAATTCTCAACAAATAAATTTAGGCCATTAAACGTCGCCAGCTGCAGAAGCACAAACATAATTTTGTCTACTTTAATTGAATCATGTTTCTCTATAAGAAAGACTTTTTCCTAAACTGCAGCATAATACCACGGGTTTTTCCACCAAATACTGTTTGCATTTAAATTTTTATGCAATTAAAATTTTAAGAAAAGTAAAATATTAACAAAAACTGCATCACAGTTTTCCACTCTCCTAATTTTTTAAAAATAATTTATCCTTTTTCATAATGTAAATGTTTTAGGTCTTTGTAGGATATGGATAAGTTACACTTATTCATTCTTCCTTTGGTATAACACATACAGCTCTTTATTTTAAATCAATGCTTTTCAAAAATGTAATTGTACATATATACACATATATGTATATATTAATGGCGGGCATTAGCCATTTTTAGGCTTTTGCCACTACTAGGACAATTTTATTATGGAGGTACCTAATAAGTGGCCACCGTTGCCTCCTATGAAGGGATGGACAGTTACAACAATACCTTCTCTGGGATTCCATCGCTACGGCAGTCAGGGTCACTAACCACTATAACTGCTGGACATTTGCATAAAATTGAAATAATTGTATATAAATTGTGTATAAATTTAATGAATGCATGTTTCTTTTAAATCAATTATATTTTAGGTATTATCTGTAATGAACTCTGGATCAAACTATAACAAAGAAAATTCTGAACTTGGTTTTAGAACACTAGAAACAGTATCTCATGGTATATATAGCCTGCCATCTCCTAATTGTGGTTATGTAGAATAGCTTTGTGGATGATCATTGAAAGCTTGTATATTTCATTAAAGATAACTGAATAAATTGTACTTAATTTTCTGTTAAAATCTTTTCTTTAATTAAAAAGATTCCACACCTGTGTCTGGAAAAAATTAACAATAGCATTTGAGAAATATGAGAAGTTTGTATTGTGTTACATAAAATTTAGCATTTTCTGGATTCTTCTTTTTCCTTTTCCTCATTGAAGAGAAACTTAATAGTATGAAATACACAAGACTACCAATAAATATTTGGACACCTGTGATAGAAAAGAAAAACTAACTTTATTCAAAAATCAATAGTTGGTAGAGCCTCCACAAGAGGTAATTACAACGTGGACCCTCCAGGGCATACTTTTCACAAGTCTTTGTATGACAGCTAGTGGTATTTTTTTCCACTCGGCTTAGAGAAGACATAGAAGTTCCTTCACCGATTTTGCACGGGTAGTGCAACCCTGAATTCAGTGATGCACCTCGTCCCAGAGGTTCTCGATAGGGTTCAGGTCTAGACTCTGGGGCAGGCCAGTTCATTCGTTGAACTCCATTGGCACCATACCAAGCCTTGGTTAACGTCGAAACATGACAACTGGCATTGTCGTCCTGAAAGTAACAGGGGTCCAACCCGTAAAACTGCCACAACGTAGGAAGCACATTCTCATCCAAAATAGTGCAGTAGGCATCGGAGTTGAGCTTACCATGAATGGGGACCAAGGGTCCCAGCCCATACCAGGAAAAACACAGCCAGACCATAATTCCACCTCCGCCGAACTTGACTGTTGGCACAATGCATTCTGGCAGGAGACGTTCTCCAGGTAGACGCCAGACCCAGACCCTGCCATCCGAACGGTAAAGGGTGAACCTTGATTCGTCACTCCAAAGAACCCGTTTCCACTGATCTACGGTCCAATTTCGATGTTCTTTGCACCACATTAACCGAGCAGCGCGGTTGGACTTTGTGATCAAAGGCTTATGGGCAGCAGCGCGACCATGAAAACCAAGCAGATGTGCTTCCTTACGGATGGTATTCATTGAAACAATACTCCCGGATGCTTGTTGAAACTCCTCGCGGATGAGGGCCATCGGTTGGATGCGGTTCTTCCGAATCTCTCTGGACAGCACTCGTCGGTCTCTATCTCCCAGTTTCGTTGGTCTGCCCACTCGGGGCACATTCCGACAATCACCGCTCACCTTCCACTTCTTAATCACATAGGCCACTGTCGATTTTGGGTACTTCAGATCACTAGATATGTCCCTTAAGGATCGGCCACATTTGTGATACCCGATAATTATACCTTTCTCAAAATCAGAGAGCTCCGAACTTCGAGGCATCTTGCATGCGACTAAAGCCGATGCTGTTTCCTACACGATATATACCGGCGGAGTCCGTGACGTACCTTAGGACAGCAGATATCGTCATTTGCTTAAGTGTCCAAATACTTATTGGTAGTCAGTGTATAACATATACACATGAAGACGTACACTGCGGGAAAAAATGAGACAGTTTTATATCTCCAGTTCTACTGGGCCGATTGACAAAATTCAAATTCCGTTTTTCATGCCTCGAAAGCGCGACTTAGGATATATTAGATATATATATAGCACTATTCTAACATAGGTATTTTGACACAAAATCAGACTTTTTCTGAAATAACATACCAATTTTTTTACATATTTCGAGTCTACAACTCAAATTATGCCAGGCTGCTAAGTTTTGTAAAAATCGTAAGAGTAAGTAGTTTTTAAAAAATGAGCCCTTAAAATTTTAGCTCCTCAATGTTAATTGAATTTGGCATATATTTATTAATATCTCTTTTTTTATTAAACGTTTTTGATTTTTCCTCTCACATTTCAAAATTTAGGTTAATTCCAAATAAAATTCATCCATTTTTTGTATTTTATTTAAAAATTTCTATTTTTAAATAATTTTTATAAATTTTTCGAAAAAAATTCTGAACTATAACCTGTAAAATTTTATTTATTATTTAAAAGTAGGTGCAGTTCTAAGCATACCTGCAAAAAATTATTTTTATTCAAAATTCTATAAGATATACACTAATTTACATATTTTCGAGTCTTGAAACTTGGCATCTTTTTTTTTGAGCGAAAATAAATGTGGTTTATGTGGTTTATGGATTTTTGCTACAGTAAATTGCCACAGCTATTTTAAACCTTAAATTTCAAATAAATTTTTACGGAGACTTAATTATATAAAATATTTTCAGCTCAGTGATGCGTAATAAATATTTATTAATACTATATAAAAAGCTATTTTTTAAATTATAGAGTATATTATTCAAATTAAAATTAAAAAAAAATTCTTTCTTTCTACCTTTTTTTTTAAATATTAGTAAGAGTAAATTTTTACCTTCGCCGCGTTATCGTCTGCTACTTAGGCCCACCAGCGGCCGAGCGGTAAAGATGCTAAACACTGGTAGTTCCGTCAGAGGTTCGAATCCCGCAAACGGGCTGGCTGCATGGGCATTTTCGTAGTTTTCCCCATGTGTAACGTGTATACGAGCCAGTTTGCCTTAGAAAGTCCTCCACGAAGGCATCCCTCCCTTTAGGCAGATAGCCCTCGTGTGCTTTGCCATAATTAAATAATTCAATCCAATCCGTCTGCTACTTTACTTTGCATTTAAATTGAATTGTCTAAAACCGAGAAAGCTCGTTTGATGTTTTCACAATGTTTTTAAGCAAACAGGACAATGACAGTCCCAGCTTTAAAAATTATACTTTGCTTTAAACTTTATTTATAGTTAAAATGCTTAGAAAATGAAAAGCTGTCTTCAATTGAAACTCAGTTGATGTAATTGATATTTAAAAAAAATTGACAAGAATGCAAAATTTATGGAAGTGTAACAAAATCTTAATTTTCTTGTGGTGAGCACTGAAAATAAATTTAGAAGAAAAGAAGAAAGTTAGGGAGAAAAGTAAGCAAAAATTTGAAGAGGAATTTGTCTGTGAGAAAGACCAAGGTGCTTCGAAAAGTTCGATGCTTTTGAATATACTTTCAGAATTCTTCAAGGAGTTTGGGTGTTCAAAGAGAAAACACTTGGACGCGTACACCAGCAAATGCCATCAATTGAGCTTGGGCTAACGTAAAAGACAAAATCGATATCATTGCAGATTAAAATGAAAAGCGACTGGCTTTCGACTATATGTTTGTATAAATTTAAATTACGTTATAGAGCATCATATCATCATAATAGACAAAGAATCCCATGATTTCTTAAACGAATTATTTGGATATTCAGGAATTTATCCAGTAATGTATGTGGATGTCACCTAGAAACGTTTTCTCTCTCGATGAAACCACTTCAAAATGTTTAGCCTCTGAACACTGATAAAGGCACTGACTAAACACTGATGAAATTGATTGAATTGGATTATTAAGTTACGGCAAAGCAGGGCTATCTGCCTAAAAGTAGAAATGCCTTCGCGAAGAACTTTCTAATGGAAACCAGCTAGCATACACGTTACAATGAGAAAAACCACGAAACCGCCCATGCAACCAGCCCATTTACCGGGATTCGAACCCCGGAGTGAACTACCGCTGTTAAGCGACTTTACCGCTAGGCCGTTTGTGGGCCTTTTTGAAATGGAAGGCGATAACATTATTTAAATTGAATGTCAGAAATACCAAGATGTTTCGAAAAGTTGGACGGTTTTTAATATACTTGCAGAATGCCTGATAAGAAAAAGAGCAAGCCATTAAGGGGGAAAAAAAAATTAAAAATTAGTATTTTTTTTTTTTTATTTAAAAAACTTTTTTATCGTATGATATATTTGATTCTTGCAATTTCAAAAATAAAATATTTGACTAAGGTATGAATAACATTTTAAGAAACTAAATTTAGGATGATAAAATTGTGTAAAGCAATGTGCACAATGTTAAAGCTATTTAAAGCAATATATGCAAGTCACCCTAAGTTAAAATCTCGATTATACTTCCTTCTCATTTATATATCTTTTCTAAACGGAACATTGAAAGGCGTGTTAACTGTGCTTTACTGTATTTTCTCTTTTAATATATTCAATTTTCAGATGCATCGTAGTCTATTCTTTCAAAAGAAATGCAATTTAAATAAATAAAATCAAATTCGAAAAAATTTATACTAATAAATATATTTAAAATAAATAACGGGTATGATACTAATAACGGGTATGAAACCTTTTTAGTTGAAACGCCTGCTTGACAACGACGAGGCAAGCTGGCAATAGTCGTTGATAACTTATGTATTTTAATGTAACTATAGAAAAATATGTCTCTAAGAATCAGGTACCACAATGTCACAATTGCCAGAAATGGCACCATTTATCAGAAAATTGCGATGTTGCACCTAGGTGCGTCAAATGTGCCGGCTTTCATAAAACTGGCAATTGTGACAAACCTGGTAGAATTGATAACCCAGTTTGTCTAATTTGCCTTGGGCCACATGTCGCTTCTTATAGGGGGTGCCCTAGGTTCCCCACCTACAAAAAGGCTAATAAACTATCTACTGTCAAGCCAGGAGTCAGTTATGCCCAGGCAATTAAACCTTTAACAAACTCAAGCAATGCGTCTGCTAATGTCTCTGCGGATGCGGGTAACATTACTAAGCAAAGTGTACAAAATAATGTTGCTCCTATTCATGCTAACAAGAGTACCAGTACTTCTGCAAATGTCAAAAGTCAACATTTAGCTTCTGTAAACTCGAATTCTGTCCAAAAAAATAGCACAAATGAGATATTCGAATGAATTAATGTTATGAAAGAAGTTGAAAATATATTTGGATGTAATATCAGCCAAATTATTAATATTTATAAAAGTAAGCTACCTGAACTTCGTAAATGTGACAATATTTTAGATAAAATTCAAGTATTGCATATGATACTCGAAGAAATTCACGGGCTAGCTAATAATGTTTGATTATGGATAATGGTCTTATAATTGTAACATGGAACGCTAAAGTGTTACTCCACAGACTAGACGAACTGCGTATCTTTGTAAAGGAGCATTGCCCTGATATTTTACTCCTACAAGAACACAAGCTTAGTTCACATTTTAAATTTCACATTGCAAACTACTG